AGTAGCCGGAATTACAGGCGCGCGCTACCACGCCCAGCTGATTTTTTGATTTATTGTAGAGATGAGGTCTCGCTGCCCAGGGGGGTCTTGAACCCGCGGGCTCAGGCAATCCACTCACCTCAGCCTCCCAAAGGCGCGGGATGACAGGCTGAGCCACCGAGCCCAGCTTATTTTAAGACTCTTATCTGTGAATTCATTACATCATTTGGGGGTCTCTTTTTATTCTTTCTCCTGATTTATGGTTTATTTTTTCCTTCTTTTTGGCATACCTGGTAATTTCTGACTAAATACCAGCATTATGAATGTTACTTTGTTGAGTGCGGGATATTACTGTGTTCCTTTAAAGAATGCAGGCAACATGCTCTAGCAGGAACGTACATTAGGGTTAGGCCAGGCACAATGGCTCATACCTGTAATCCCAACACCTTGGGAGGCTGAGACAGGAGGACTGCTTGAGGTCACTGATTCAAGACCAGGAATTCAAGACCAGCCTGGACAACACAGTGAGACCCCCATCTCTACAAAAAATTAAAAACTTAGACAGGTGTGGTGTCATGAATGTGTAATCCCAGCTATTTGGGAGGCCGAGGTGAGAGGATCACTTGAGCCCAGTGGTTCAGGGCTATAGTGAGCTATGATCACACCACTGCACTCCAAACAAGACAAAGCAAGACCATGTCTCAAAAAAAAAAAAAGAAAAAGCAAATTTCTTAGGACCAGTTTGATCCTTCTGAGGCAGGCTCTCAGCTTTAGATTCAAATTTTTTTTTTTGAGTTGGGGTTTTACTCTGTCGCCCAGGCTAGAGTGAAGTGGCATGCTCACAGCCAACGCAGCCTCGACCTTCTGGGCTCCAGCAATCCTCCTGCCTCAGCCTTCCAAGTAGGAATTACAGGCACGCGCCACCATGCCTGGCTAATTTTTTGATTTATTGGAGAGATGAGATCTCGCCAAGGTGCCCAGGCTGGTCTCGAACCCATGGGCTCAGGCAGTCCTCTCACCTCAGTTCTCCCAAAGTGCTGGGATTATAGGTGTGAGCCACCGTACCCGGCTTAGATTCTATTCTACTGCTAACTTAACCCTACCATGAATCCTCCCTCTCTGGACTCTACCCCAATGCCCTGCATACTATAATATCCTTCCACTCCGACTAGTGGAAACACAAACTCAGTCCTATCACTTTCTGATGATCCACTCCCAGGATTTCTGGGACTCACACGCATACACACAGACAAGTCTCAGCCAAAGATCTGAAGGGACTCTGCAGGTGTTACCGCTGGAGCTCGATGCGCAGACCCTCCCTTCTGGAACTCCGTCCACAAACCCGGCGGCTGTGGCCTCCCCAAATGCCGGTTTCTGCTGCTTCCATTCAGCATTCCCGCTGGGCTCCACTTAGGTTTCCCTTCTCAGTCCTGTGGCCTGGAAACTGCCTCCAGGCAGAAAGCTGGGGCACATGGGGGCTCATGTCATTTCCTTCCCTTCTCTTAGGGGTCACTGCCACACGCTGCCTGTACCAACATCTGAGAACACAGTTTAAAACGTTTAATCTACAGTCGTGTATGGCAAGGAGCTCCGTAGCAGTCACGCCCTCATGGGTGCCACTGCTCGGGTTACGACGACGTGTGGAAGCTTCCCATCAGCACATGACATGTCTGATGCTCATCTTTCAAGCCACTGTGTTCTCCATGGAAAACAACTTGGAGGGCTCCCCACTACACAGGGGGCTCCTGACAGCCACACAGCTCGTTTTGAGAGGAAGTTCAGAATCGCTTGGACTTTCCTTGCAGTCTGTGTCTCATACCCCCCAAATTCAACTTAACGTCCTGCATGTTAAAGGTGGATCCAAATCAGATGATGAGTCGGTGATGGTAAAGGACCAGAACTCATCAGTTCAATTCTGTCACTCTGTGTGCTGACTTGGAGGTTTTGTGCTTAAAAACAGTGAAACAATATAAGTGTAGTCAAGTTTTTTCTTCCCTCTTTAAAAAATGCATTAATGAAATGAAAAAGCATTAATCTTTTCATTTTTCCTTTCTGGTACCACATTTTGCATTGTAATTTTGGTTTAATGTTTTAATGGAATGAGTATGTACACCAAGTTCAATAAAAGTTTTCACTGCTAATGTTTCTTTCCTAGCTATTGTTATTTTATTTCATCTTGTGACCATTACAGGTTGAGTATCTCTGAGAATTTGGAATCTGGGACGCTCCACAATTCCTGTCTTTTTGAGCACCAATTGGATGCTCAAAGGAAACACTCACTGGAGCTTTCTGGATCTCAGATTTTCGAATTAGGGACATTCGACCAGCACGTACATATAAAAAGAATATTCCAAAATCCAGACAATCCAAAATCTGAAGCATTTTTGGTCCCAAGCTTCTTGGATAAAGGTCACTCAGCCCGTACTACCCATTTGAGTCAAGTGCGTGAGGTGCCCCAGGGCTTCCCCAACAGGGGCGTGATCTCACTGGAGACCTGAGGGCACCCCGGTCACATCAGGGACGTCAGAGCTGGGTGTCCCACAGGCACCCTGGGCCTCACTTGCCACTCAGTGAACGGAGCGACTGGAATACCTGACAAGTCACTGCCTCAACCTTTCGAGTCGCTAGGCAGGGGAGAAGCTGTCCTCAGGAACCCAGTCACCCCCACTCTCCCCTCCCCACCAACTTGCTCCTGGTCCTCCTCACTTCCTCCTGGACTTGCTTTGTGTGCCCGAAGAGTAGGAACTGAAGTGATGCTGCAGAGGAAAAACCGAAAGAAGCACTGGGGCTGTCTTGAAGCATGAGCGGTTTCCTGGAAAACGGGAAGATTATTCCCAGCAGAGGAAAGGGAATGACAAAGACAAAGGCTGAGAGTCTGAGGGCCCCACGTGTGCAGGCACGGGTCACAGGGTAAGACAGGGCTGTGGGGACACTGAAGGGGCGCCAACGGGCTGTGGGTGAGGAATGCCTGGGAACTGGGCATGGGGGTGGGCACCTGAGGTATTTCTGGGCTCCAGCATGGTGCTCAGTGTGTCGGGGTTCCCAGGGGTCCCCATGATCACGCCTAGCCCTGACGGTTCCTCTCAGCAGCCAGCACAGCTCTCCTGAACAGATGGGGAAGTTGAGGCTCAGAGGTGGGCTGGCCCCCTGCACAATGTCAAGACTGTCAACAGAACAGGCCAGGGTCTGGGGCCCAGGCAGGCCTCCCCGACCCTCACCTCAGCCAGAAGGGGTTGAGTGGCTGTTCCGGGGGCCTATGCTGGGTGTCGCCCTCCTGAAGACACTGCTTCGGCCGTGGTCATGGCCCAGCCTGTTTCTCCCTTCGCGGTACCATCCCACGAGCAAAGGGATGTGCTGCTCTTCCACCCACCTGGAAAAAAACAAAACAAGGCCGACCCTAACCCTGCACCTCCCCTGGCTGACCCTATTCCTGTTCTTTGGTGCAGTCTCTGGAGTCACCGGGACCTGCTGTCCCCACCCACCTCCTGCAAGCCAGCTCCCAGGGACTTGCCCTGGCCCTTGTCTTCCCAGATGGCAGTCACCCTGCCCCGAGGCCTCCCCATCCTCTGATGTTGGGCTTCCAGGACTCGAACCCACTTCCTGTGTACTCGCCCCTGCGTAGCCCTCTGTTCATGAACTGCAACCCCAAATTCCAGAAGTCTCTTTTTGACGGAGTCTCATTCTGTCGCCCAGGCTGGAGTGCAGTGGCATGCTCACGGCCACCACAGCCTCGACTTGCTGGGCTCAGGTGATCCTTCCACCTCAGTCTTCCAAGTAGCTGGAACTACAGGCAAGCACCACCATGCCTGGCTAATTTTTTGATTTACTGTAGAGATGAGGTACAAGTTGTCCAGGCTGGTCTTGAACCTGTGGGCTCAGGCAACCCTCTCACCTCGGCCTCCTGAAGTGCTGGGATTATAGGCGTGAGCCACTGTGCCTGGCCGAGATGTCTCACCTGGGTATCTGGTGGGCATCAGAGCATCCCAGAATCACCCATTCAGAACCCAGTGCTCGGTCGCATCCCCCACCTGAGTGCACAACACCATCCTTCCTCCCACTGCATCCTGTCTGCCATGTCGCTTCACTGTTAGAATGCTTCCAGAAGCTGATCCTCACCACCTCTCAGGGCTAAGAGTCTAGCTACTCAAGGAGAAGCCTTATCCTTATAGGGCACACAGAGGCAGGTTTACCGTGAGGCTAGGAGCAGCAGGAGCTACTGAGTGTTTTAGGAGGTGAGTGGAAGGCAGACTGCAATCAGGAAGCAGTTCCATGTGAACCTTCTGCAAATTGCCTAAAAAGATCTCAGAAGAAAGGGGCCATGCTGGGATTACTTTTTTCATTTAAAATACTATTCTCTTTGTTCCTAATTTATACCCAATTTAATAATTACTTTATTATAGATCACAACCCGCCCCCCACCGTGGAAGGGCGCCTGCCGAAGAGGCCCTAAGTGACCCGGCCCTGCTGACCCTTCTTTCCTTCCTTTGCTCTGTGCCACAGGGGTCTCTAGCCTCCTTTTAATCCAATGTACCCTTGTCCTCAAGGTATTCCCGGCCCTTCCTCCACCTGGTTTTGCTGCTTCTTAGCACTTACCCACATCACAGACCAAACCCGCTGACGACTTGGTTGGTTGCTGTCTTCCCTGTCCCCACTCTGCCCTGAAGCCTGGACCTGCCAGGCACACAAAGGACAGTGGGCACCATGAACCACAAGCTGCAGCTTGAAGTGAGTCTGGCGCTGCTCCAGATGTGGTGGCGCTGGCTCCCCATGGGAGGCATATCACTTTGCTCCCTCCCACCATGCCCCCAGCAGAAAGAACCAGCCAAGGTCTCCTGCTGTACTAATGTATTCCATCTTTCAAAAAGAAAGACATGATTTTAATATTACTTAACAATATGTTAAAAAAGTAGCCAGGCAGGCCTCCGTGTTAATACAGTCGTACACTCTCTAACGGACTTGATGGTGAGTACTGGGTGGGTTCTTGTTTGTAACTTTCTCATTCTGTAGGGATCATACACAAGCTGGCTACAAGTCAGGGGGATCAAACACAAACAGCGCAACGTGTACACTCTGAAACAGTAGATCGTGGAGGAGCACGGAGGAGGCCTGCCCCGCCCAGCCTGCCTCAGGTTGGACACGGGCACAGAAGAGCTGAGTGACGGCCGACACCCCAGTAGGGACAGATGATGGGACAGGATGCAATGCAGAGGCAATGGAGCCACGTGATGATGCAAACTTGTATCCAGCCACGGCCCAGGCCTCCGAGGTCGTGGTGGTGGGAGGACTTGGTGGGAACTACTGTTCCAATCCGACAGCACAGAGCTACAATCCAAGGAGTCTCACGCACAGAAGACACGCACACAAGCTAACAGCGCAGGCCGAGTGGCAAGTTGTCGGTCTAGGGGTCTCAGGCAGTGGTGCCTGCCCCACATAGCGCTGGGCGAGCACCACGGCCCTGGGGGCCAGTAAGGGGCTCGGCTTTCAGCTCTTGACTCTCGGGGTGGCGTAGCCTGGCCCAGCTCCCGCATGTCCCTCTCCAGGGGCTCCTCATTCAGTGGGCAGCAAAGGTGGCTTTTTTCAAGCTAAAGTTGGACCAATTGATGGACAGTCTTTGTCGCGTCTGTCTAGCAGAATCCAAGCAGAACCTGCAGAGACAAAAAGCCCAATGTCATCAAAGGAAACAGCCCACACCCAAGCTGATGTGTGGCAAAACCACACATCTTCTTGTCCTTGCTAAAAGTACCTGGGAGGCCAGGCTCGGTGGCTCAGCCTGTAATCCCAGCACTTTGGGAGGCCGAGGTGAGTGGACTGCCTGAGCCCACGGGTTCGAGATCCGCCTGGGCAACTTGGCAAGACCTCCTCTCTACAACAAATAAAAAATTAGCCGGGTGTGGGAGTGTGGGCCTGTAGTTCCAGCTACTTGGAAGGCTGAGGCGGAAGGATCGCCGGAGCCCAGCAGGTCAAGGCTGCGGTGGCCGGGAGTGGCCCCTGCACTCCAGTCTGGGTGACAGAGTGAGGCTCCAACTCAAAAAAACCGAAAAACCAAAAACCCCTCAACTCCCTGGGGATGGGGGGGCTCAGCAAGGGGGACAGGGTCAGTGGGTCCCTCTAGGTCCTGCCACAGGCCATGCTTCATAAGGAAGGCCCTTGGGAGGAAGGGCAGGCAGGCGGGAGGGAGTCCTGAGAAAGAAAGAAAACTTTTCATCTGAGGAATGCGAGCCCCTTAGATAATCAAGCCCAGAGAGGCACTGAAATGGGACAGCAGGTACTTCTCACTGCTCACCCCCACCCTGAGCTAATTAATACCCCTGCTAGATGGTCTAACCAAGAGTTGCCATCAAGCAGTCATCAATTTTATTTTATTTTTTGAGTTGGAGTCACACACTGTCACCCAGGCTGGAGTGCAGTGGCACGATCACAGCTCACAGCTCACTGCAGCCTCGACTTGCTGGGTTCGGGTGATCCTTTTGCCTCAGTCTCCTCAGTAGCTGGGACTATAGGTGTATGCTAGCACACCAGGCTAACTTTTTTTTCTTGTAGAGAGGAGGTCTTGCTATGTTGCCCTGGATGGTCTCGAACTCCTGGGCTCAAGCAATCCTCTTCCTCAGTCTCCCAAAGTGCTGGGATTACAGGCTTGAGCCACACTGCCCAGCTGGTAGTCATGATTAACAATGCCACATGCTAGATGCCGTGACTCATACCCTGTAACTCAACGTAGTGCTAATCACTGATCAGTGCTATTTCTTACACCAATGAGAATTTCTGACAAACAACTTTTGTAATCTCCCTCTCCCCTGATTTGTCCTTTTGTCTTAAAAACTTGAGTCTCTCGGGTCAGGTGTGGTACTCCAGGTCTGTAGTCCTAGTGACGCAGGAGGCTGTGGTGGGAGGATCACTTGAGCCTAGGAGTATGAATCTGCAGTGAGCTGTGATTGTGTAACTACACTCCGGTCTGGGTGACAGAGCGAGATCCTGCTCTTAAAAAACCCCCCAAAACCAGATGAGTGCGGTGGCTTACACCTATAATCCCAGCACTTGGGAGGCCAAGGTGAGAAGACTGCCTGAGCCCACAGGTTCGAGACCAGCCTGGGCAACATGGCAACACCTCATCTCTATAATAAAAAAATTAGCCGAGTGTGGTGGCATGTGCCTATAGTTCCAGCTACTTAGAAAGTTGAGGCAGAAGGATCACCTGAGCCCAACAGATTGAGGCTGCGGTGGCCGAGAATGAGAAAGTCTGGGTGACAGAGATTTCAACTAAAAAAAAAAAACCCCTAACAAAAACCTTGACCCTCTCCTTTGTTCTCTGAGCACTTTCCAGCGTGTCCCAGGCTGCCATCCTCAACCTTAATCCAAATAAGCTCTATATTAATTTTGTCTCAGTTTCCCTCTTTAGGTCAACAGCCCTATCACAGGACACCAGCCAGGTACGCTGTGTCTTCTCTGCTCTTTCTTTTTTTTTTGAGTTGGAGTCTCACTCTGTCGCCCAGACTGGAGTGCAGTGGCTGCTCCCGGCCACCGCAGCCCCGACCTGCTGGGCTCCAGCAATCCTTCCGCCTCAGCCTTCCGAGGAGCCAGAATTACAGGCATGCGCTACCACACCCGGCTGATTTTTTTTTTTTATTTATTGTAGAGATGAGGTCTCGCTGCCCAGGCGGGTCTCGAGCCCACGGGCTCGGGCAATCCACTCACCTCAGCCTCCCAAAGGCGTGGGATTACAGGCTGAGCCACTGAGCCCGGCTTCTGCTCTTCTTAATGTGGCTATGACAGAGATAAGGAGAAAGGGCTGGGGCCACTGCTTCCTTGGGTGGGTTCTTGTTTGCAATATTCTCTTTCTGTAGAAATCTTACACAAACTGGCTCCAAGTCGGGGGATCAAAGACAAACAGTGCAACATGTACGCTCTGAGACAGACTGTGGAGGAACATGGAAGCCTGCCCTTATCTGGGCAGTCAACTATTCAGCAGCAGCCTTGGGGGAACAGGTAACAGCAGTGGTGGGGGGGGGCTTTGCAGGGGCTCCTCAGACATCTAGGTACTGCTGAAGACAGGAGCCTCAGGCCTGGCGCCAAGGGCAGCCCTGCAGCAGACCATCCCAGGGAAGCAACCGGACTACTCAGTGAGGCTGCAGTGCCTAGGTGGGGCACAGTTCAGGCTCACACATGTGCCCTGCAGGGAATGGGGGAGGACAGGGGTGCCTTTGACCAGGCTGATGGCCTGAGGCGACCACGAGAACAGATGTGCTCAGGCCAGGGCAAGATGCTGCCCAGTGTCTCGGGCAGGATGGCATGTAACAGCCCTAATGGCTAGGTGGGCCCCTGGGACAAGTCCTGGAGAGCCACAGGTGACCTGGCAGCTGCCTCTCTGTGCCTTGGCTGTGGAAGCCACAACTGGGAAGGAGGAGTCTCAAGTGGAAGCAAACTAGATCTGAGCCTTGCCTGCCACGAAGCACAAGGCTTTGTGTGGCTAGAACTAAGCATCAGGGTTAAGTACGGGGCCAGCAAACGTGTCCTGTAATGGACCAGGCAGCAAATAATTCAGATCTACAGGTCCTGTGGTCTCTGCTGCGACTGCCCGACACTGCAGCATGGAAAGGATGCAAGCATAGTTGTGTTCCAGGAAGACTTCATGCATGGTAAAATGTGAGGTTTGTGTAACTTTTATGTCTCACGAAATATTCTTTATTGCCAACTACTTAAGTGTAAAAATCCTTCTAGTCATCAGTTATATACAAGCAGGTGGTGAACTGGGTCTGGCCTACAGCTCAGAGCAAGTGATCTGAATTAAAGATTGCAGTCTAAATTAGCCAGGCATGGTGACGCATGCCTGTGGTTCCAGCTACTTGGAAGGCTGAGGTGGAAGGATTGCCTGAGCCCAGCAGGTCGAGGCTGCAGTTGCCTTGAGCGTGCCAATGCACTCCAGAGGGAGTTTCCAGAGGGAGACTTCAGCTCAGAAAAAAAAAAAAAAAAAGATTGCAGTCTATGTGTAAACCACTGGGATTTCAGCCTACCCTAATTTATTCATAAATTCAGAAGTGAGTACAATTTGAAATAAAAATCATGGCGAGATAGGGTTACATTCCCCATCTTGGGATGGGGAGGGGCATGTCACCGGCACACGTAGGCTGTAGGTCTTTGAGGCCAGCTGCAGCCTCTGGGCTCACCGTCTGTGTTCTAAACAGCTTTTGAAGACTACACTTTTGCCATCTGCTTCCAGGGTAACAATGGCCAATTTTTGTATTAAACGGAGGAAACAACATTTTCTTTCAAAGTCTTTACTTTGAATAACTTCTGAAGTCTTAACCATTCTAGTTTCAATTTACGTAGCAGAAAATTTTTTTTTTTTTGAGTCAGACTCTCACTCCGTCGCCCAGACTGGAGTGCAGCGGCTGCTCCCGGCCACCGCAGCCTCGACCTGCGGGGCTCCGGCGATCCTTCCGCCTCAGCCTTACGAGTAGCTGGAACCACAGGCGCGCGCTACCACACCCGGCTGATATTTTTGATGTACTGTAGAGATGAGGTCTCGCCAAGTTGCCCGCGGGCTCAGGCCATCCGCTCACCCTGGCCTCCTGAGGCGCGGGAGGACGGGCTGAGCCGCCGAGCCCGGCTGGGCAGCAGAAATCTGGATGAAACCTGAAAATGGTTGTTGTCACTCTTCCATGAGGTGTGATGAGACTTGCCTAAGCTGTGCTGCCATCATTCAACCACACACGTGTGTGAATGTCCAACTGCTGCTGCTTGCTTGGCAGTCCCTGTGTAGGTGGAACAGTCAGCTTTAGGAATGAGACCCCACCAAGGAAGGACTGATGCCGTCTCCCAGAATCCAAATTCTCTTTTCCTGGCCACAGCTGGTCAAACCCTGAATCTGTGATGTCACCTTCGAAATACATTTTCTGGAAGTTTCCATCTCTGCCTCTGCTGTCTCCTAACTCTGACAGTCACCTCCTGACTGTCTCCATTAGTGTGTGTGACCCTGTCCCCCACTCCTGTCTCTACACAGCAGCTAGAATGCTCAAAAACACCAATTTCAACCCTGCTCAAAGCCATTCACTGAAGAAATCCAATCCACACCATAGCAAGACTGTCACAGGGTTCTTGCAGCATGAGCACAGAACACTGCTTCCCCAAGGCCCCAGGCCCAGTGGGACCGAGCTTTGCCCCATCCCTAAAACCCCTGTGCACCAGACAGTGGCCTATGTGCTGCCTGCACAAGATGTACAGAACATATACTTATAGGTAATTATTATTATTATCTTGAGTTGGAATCTCACTCTGTCGCCTAGGCTGAAGTGCAGTGACATGCTCAGTGCCACCACAGCCTCAATCTGCTGGGCTTAGGCAATCTTCCCACCTCAGTCTTTCTCAAGTAGCTGGAAGCACAGGCACATACCACCATGCCTGGCTACTTATCCATCTAGTATCTATCTCTATCTATTTCTCTCTCTCTCTCTCATCTATTTTACAGACAGGGTCTAGCCAATTTGCCTAGGCTGGTCTTGAACCCCTGGGTTCAGGCAATCCTCTTGCCTCCCCAAGTGCTGGGATTACAGGCATGAGCTACCGTGCCTGATCCACTTACAGGTAATTAGAATGCAAATCTGAGTAACAAGCGCCCCCAAATCAAAAAATCCAACAGAGCAACCACCGC